TCCCGGCTACCCCCCCCAGCCTCGCCAGACACTCTCAGTCTCCGTCCTGGGGAAGAAACAGCACCAGCCCTACTTATACATGACATGCGGGCTGAAAAACAGCCCCTCGATAAAATATCTGGGGGTTGGTATTGCGGGGAAATGAGGGTAGAGTGGGAGCTGAGGCTGTGGTACGCCTCGGTGCCTGGCACACCATGGCAGGGTGATGCTGGCTTTTGGTGCTGCTGTTAATGTGTCGGGTGTTTTCCATAACCTTCACAGTTGCTTCCCCTCCCCAAGCAAAATATGGGCCTCAGGGACATCTGAGCGAGAGAAGACCAAAAGCTTAATATTGCTGCCGTTACAACTCAGCTTTCATTGTGTTGGAGTTAGAGTTAAGCTCTGAGTTTTAAAAGAGCACATTTTAATAATACCGTCTCTCCAGATCTTAAATGTTTCTCTTTTTTTTCACCACCCTGGGGATATTTATAGCATATAAATCTCTATAATGTACTTATGGATTCATGACCCACTCTGACAACAGTCAACGTGTTTACTTTCCAAAACAGCCCCTTGGGTTTAACATCACCAGGACATGCGGCCATGTTGTGCCAGAGAATGGGCTGATAGTGGCCCTGCTTTCCTCTGTCTCCAGGAGAAAGGCTGACCATCTCCCTTTTTCCCCCAGCAGCTCGGATGGGACCTGGCACAACGAAGCACCTCCCTTCCAGGCTGTACTCAACGAGAGCGAGCCCACCTGGGGCTGGGAGGATGAGCAGGGCTTCTCAGCACTCCGGCACTCCGGTAGGACAGTGGCTTCGTGCCCAATTCCCTGTCTCATCCCTCCTGCCAGCAGCCAGCACGGATAGAGTCTTCTGCACTTGTAATTAGCTCCCTGGCAGATGTAGGAGGGGACATTTCCCAACTAACATCCTGTGTAACCACCTTCTTCCCCTCCATGAACCAGAGGAGCCTTATGGCTCATCCCGTCAATGTGAGGATGAGCACATGCAGACCCTTTAGGCACATGCTCCACACTAGAAGACTGCACCCAGCGTCAGTAAGGCAAGAGGTGCCTGCCTGACTTTGCAGTCCCAGCTCTGAATTTCATGGCTGAATACTCTCATCTTTTACTTGGCCCTCACATTTTAAATCTATCTTTGCATTCAATAGAACTTCTCAATTTTGGACAGACCAGCAACATTACTTAAAGGGTGGGGTTTGCCCCTTCACGGGCAGGTAATTAGAAAATTACTAACTCAGAACTTATTTCCATGACACCCACAACAATTTTGGCATCAACTGCAGCTTAGAATGTAATTTCAGCTGCGGCTTCAGCTGGGGAAGTTATTCCCCTCCTGCCCGCCTCGTCTGGAGGAGGTGGGTGCTCGAGGTTGCTGGGAGGCAGGCTGGCCCCACGGCGCAGCGCCGAGCTGTCCTCCCTTGCCGCTGCTGCACGCAGGCAGGCGAGCGGCATTTCCTCCGTTTTCAGAAAGCGGCATGATAAAATCTCAAAGATACAATAATTGATTTAATTGAGGGGAAAGCTCCATCATTTGTCTGGGCAGCCTCATTTTAAGTATAAATAAGTATATCATGTTATTCTTTGTTCTAAGATCACGGAAGTCATTAATCTGCCTTAACCTCTGCAACATTTCCTTTTAAAATTTTGTCTGGTACATTATGGTGTGGAAAATACCACGGGGAAAGACATGCGTGTTATTTGCATCCCAAGGCAAAATAATAAGGCCTTTGTTTCCCTTCTCTTCAAATTGTAAACAAGGAATAATTGCCCTTGGACTAAGATTGTATATTCAGCCTGGATCTGAAAATAGTTGGGGTGTTTTGTTTTTTTTTTTTGCATGGGGCTTGTGGACCACATACAAACCTCTGGCAGGTCCTGGCCTCTGCCCATGAAGGCTCCCATCTTTTCAGTACAATCCTCAGCCATTTGCTTCCTTCTCTTTCCCCAGGTAAATGCGAATGTAAAGAGCAAGTTTTAGGGAATCCCAAGGTCTTCTGTGGGATGAAGTACACCTATGGTGAGTTTGGGTGAGGTGGCAGGGCTGTAAAGGGAGGTGCTGTGAGGCAGTGCAAGAGTGTAAAACATGAGAGGTGCTGCTGGGTGCACCACTGTTCTGGCAAACCCGTGGGGTACCCAGTCCAGGGGCTGATCTTGGACTAGTTCCAAAATGTGTAGAGAGCATGGTACCAAGCCAAGGTGGGTGAAGCATCTTGCTCTTTTACCCACCTCTCTTGCTACCAGAATAGCTTTGTGCCAAAATCATGGGAGGACAGGAGCTGAAAGAGAGGTTGTCTAGGTCCAAGATGGACTGTAAAGAACTATTACCAAAAACGAGTCACTAAAGTGGTGTCTGTAGACCAGGTGCACCAAGCACAGTCTAGAAATCACTAAAACTGAACTACACTGAGTGTAAGGAGGGACAGTGAACACCACACAAGACACTGCATGAAGAAAACAGCTCTAGCAGCTACTAGGAACTTCCCTCTGTCAACAAAGTTCAGCTGTTGCAAAAGAGTGATGTATACTGTCTATGTGTCTATTGGATTTAAACGACTGAGTGGAGGTACTTTATTTCACAAGACCTCTTAGGTGTATGTCAGTAAACCACCTTCTTCATTCTGCAGCAGAGCAAGGAATGCTGTGTATAGTACTTCCTTCCTTCACAGTCTTCCTTCACAGACTTTTGCACCTGTTTCACCTTACACTGAAGCTGAAAATGCACAGAGAGTTAACCCATATCTCTGCAGGCTTCAGAGTGATGCATAAAGGGAAGTTCAAGGGGCCGCCAGCAGTTGAAATATAGCCCTGGCTTAGTGATATTAGTGAAAAGTCTGGTTCTGCTTTGCTTTTCTCCTTGGCTGCGATAATGTCCGTGTTTAATCTTGCAAAAAATAAGAAAGTAAAAAAAAAAAAAAAAGTCACAAAAAAAACAAGTTCATAAATCTTATCTACAGTGTGTTCAGACTTCCCACGCTTTCCACCATATGGTGATAGCTACCAGTGTAGGCATCAGCACTGTCAGGGGGAAGGCTCACATGTGGGACCTGAGCCCTGAGCCTCCACCCTGCAGGGGCTCAGCAGGTAGGATACCAGGCAGTGGGAGAGTGCCTGTGGGTATCCGTGAGATCAGAATACACTGCAATTTGCCTGTCCCCACCAACATCTCAGGCTATGCCACTGCGTTTGGATTTGGCAGTTCTGCAAAGTGTGAGGACTGGCAGCAGAAGAGCTCACTGGGGTAGGACGAGGGCAGCTCGTCCTGCTGCTTGGCCTGCCCAGGCTGCGTCCGGCAAAGCCTCCAGGTCCATCCCTAGATCCAAGGTTTTCCATTTGATTTCCAGAAGTACTAAGGAAGTCAAAGTGTTTGCTGAGGTCTGGGGGAAAATGGGGCCCTGCCAAGGTTTGAAAATTGGGTCATTGGACCTCTCCTGTTGCCTGTGTGGCAGGTCCAGGTGCCATGGCCAGACCAACCAACGGTATGCCTGCCCATGGGTATGGGGATGTATGTGCTCCCCAGCAGCTGTGCTGGCCCTGAACTCCCCAGTAAAGAGCATCAGGCTAACTCCACTGTAGTGGAGTAATTGTCCTCACTGCTTCACCCAGACACTTGCATTAGGAAAAAAACAAACAAAACAAAACAAAACAAAAAGAGAGGGTACTGTAAATAGTTTATATATTCATGGTTTTGAATTTGTGTCTTCCCAGTGATCAAGACAAAAATCTTGTCAGCTCATGACAAAGGCTCCCATGCAGAAGTCAATGTGAAGATCAAAAAAGTCTTGAAATCTACAAAGCTGAAGATCCTCCGGGGCAAGAGGACGCTCTACCCTGAATCCTGGACTAACAGAGGCTGCACTTGTCCCATCCTCAATCCTGGTAGGTTTGACTCCCTGAGCAGTACAGCCCCGCCACATCTACACAGATTTAATTCCCACCCTTCTGTCCCCTCATGCCAACGAGCTGATATTGCAGCCCAGTGTTGGTTAAGAATTACTGGCTGTTACATCGTTTGGATTCCAACAGCTTAGCTTAAAGTCTTACAGCTTTACCAATCTCAGTCAGTTCCCTGAGGGAGGTAGACATCATGCCACATCTACATGACATATCTTTTCAAAACTAATGCTAATTTGAATCCATAAAAACACATTTAAATCTAATCTGATACTGTACTGAAGTTCTAATCTAAACAGTATAATTAATGGTTGGACTCGATCTTAAAGGTCCTTTCTAACCCAGTGATTCTGTAAACTCAAGGACAGATGTCTCTTTGAAAGTAACACTAATTTGCATCTACAAGACTGGAAGAGGTTCTCTTATGCAGTGAGAGGAGATCTTTGCCTTCACAGTTTTTCTCATCTTCTTTCACTGAAATGGAGTGGTGGCTAAACAGTGCATTCAGTCTCCAGTACAGACAAGGAGGTGCAGACTCAGGGTTTTCTTCGACAGGACAAAACTAAGCTGCAGCTGACACACCTTTCTTTACAACTCCAGGATAAATGAACAGTTACCAACTAATTCAGATACAGTGTTTTCTTTCTGTAAGGCACACATATGGCTTGGAAATCACCAGTCAAAACATCAGCTTCAGTGCTGAGACATCCCTTATGCGTGCAGCCCTAGGAACTTCCTTTGCAGGAAAAGGGCTGTTTGGAAGGCTGGATCACACAGAAAAGTTATTCATTGATGAGGTGTTTTCAGTCTTCTTTCATCTCCACCAGAATGACCATCTTTGGCTTGGAAGGCAAGCTGCTGTGATAGCACAGCTGTAGTCAGGAAATCATGTCAGGTGCAAGGGTCGGAGGAATCAGCAGCATTAGGCAGGACTTTGCTGTTTGAGTGCATTGACTTTGGATATTAGTAAAACACTATGAACTGATAATTAAATAGATACAGTGGTTTTATTTTTCCATATGCAATGCAAACACAAGCAAGAAATCCCAGATGTGGCTGCTTTAATATGAACACAGGTGAATGCCATGCAAGCTGTCAGACACAGAGTGTGCAGGGCAGCCCTGCACCTGACACCCAGCTCTGCGACTCCACTGACTTCAGAGTTTTCTTCTGGCAGAGGAAAACAAGCAGTAGTCACAGAACTGATGAAGATCACTTGGTCATCAGTGGAAGGGTACAAGTGCAACAGTCTTTAGGGACAATCCATATGTCTGACACATCCAATGTTACTCCCTTGCCAGGTCTCTCTATTTGCACTGCAAAGATTGGAGTTTTCTTGAAATGTTTTTTACAATGTAATTAATTTTTTTTGGCTACCACATTCATTCCTGGATGGTCAACATTACTATATTAGCAGACTTAGCCCTCTCTCAGAGTAGGAGTTTATGACCTCCAGATGAATACACTAGAAACAGCTGGATAAAAAGCCATGCTGACATAAAACAACTGCCTCACATATAGCTAGAATGGAAACTCCAGTCATTTATCAAATCTCCACGGGCTGTTTTCAGATTATAAATGTGCTTGAGTTCCAACGAGAGGAATTCACCACCCTGCACACCTTTCCCTGTGCACACACCCGAAGCAGCAGGTTGGACTTCTGGAGGGACACTGAGCTGAAAGGTTTAAAGGTCTCAGCTGTCGGCAAGGGAACAGGAGCCACTTGCTCTCCTTGGCTCTGCCAAGCACAAACACAAATAATCAAACAGCTGCCTGCCAGCAACACAGGACAAAACTCACAGCCTCATGTCCCACCTTGTGGTGTCTCAGTCATTTGATTTATTTTATTTTTACACTACTGTAACATCTGGTTGAAAATCTAGCAAGCCCTACTGAATCAATTACTGTGGCAATATTTATTTGCTCTCTCAGGGTGCATGCCACATTTCTCTCTCAAGGGAGGTAGATTTAGGAGCTCTTGAAGAGTGATGTTTATAACAGCAGTCTTGACATGGCCAAAAAGAATGTCTTGCAAAGGGTGCCATACACTCATCCGGTGTTTACTTGGCAGAAGAGAGGATGTGTGTGCCCAAAAACTCAGATGGAGTAGATAACAAATTGTTATCCGAGGAAACGCGAGCAGACTCCCTGCTGTGGCAAGGGTGGAGCAGTGTGACCAAGAGCACTGGGGGAGATCCATCTAGTTCGTACTACTGCCCGGTGCTCCCCAGACCAGTGCGAGGAGGAGGGGGTACAAGAGGGTTTTGTGCTTGCTGTACACCAAGTGTGCTGCAAGCAGGATGCTGGCCCTGGCAGGAAGCTCCTCCTGCCACATAAAGAATTATCCTCCTTGTTATCTCAGTTCATGGCACATTTGTGGCCCATTTAGGCTGTTGGCCACGCTTCTTCAGCTAATGCAAGTCAAAGGCTTCACTCCATCCCTTGGCTTAGCCTGGCGCCAAGCACTGAAGCAATGCCCTGAAAGCCAAGCGCAATCTAGATGCCTGCAGCAGGCCCAGCAGCACCATGCTCCAGCGTTTTCTGGCACCTTCTGGACACCAGGCGAAGCTCTGCCAGGTGCTGCTGTCATGTCTCTAAAACATCTGACTGAGGCAGAAATTAATGCAGCTCTTTTCAGTGTGACTGCCAGCCCCTCAGGCTCTTCTGGAGTGCTTGCTCTGGCAAATCTAGTGTTGCCTGTTGTCTGGGTCCAGCGTGCCTTTGCCTGCAAGGGGACACCAGCCATTTTGAATAAGACACCAGCAATTGGTGATCTCCCACTGTCATGACTGGAATGTGCTGAACTTTTTCATTTCCAGGTCCAGGTGTATTCAGGAGAGGTGAGACAAGTGGCTGCCAAGTGAAAGTAATAGCAGTTCCCAAATGAGGTATAAAAACTTGCAGTGCAGGCCCCAGAGTACAGCTTCCATTTATATTTAGAAGCTGACAGAATCTCACTGATAAATGCACCACAGGGGTCATTTTTCCATAGATATATGGATAGAGGTATAGATATGCTGATATATGCGACAATCAATATGTAGAAATATTTCTTGGTGTAAGTGTTTTTTTTACATGGGACGAGATATCCAGGCTGACTTTGAGCATCCATAGACCTCTTAAGTGCAATAGTGCTATGCAGTCCCTGACCACTTCACTGGTTTGCAGGCTTGGAGTACCTCGTGGCAGGACACGAGGATGTCCGAACGGGCAGACTCATCGTCAACATGAAAAGTTTTGTCCACCAATGGAAGTCGGCTCTTGGAAGAAAGGTCTTGGAGATTTTGAAAAGAGACTGCAACTAGAGGTGCGTGACTGCCTAGGGCATTTTTTTATGCACAAAATGCAACAGACTTCACAGAGAGAAGACCTCTAGGATGAAAACTGGAATGTAAGAAAATAGTGCCAAAATGCATAGCGAGGCAGAGTTGTAGGCACTGTGTAATTTAACCCTTCCTGGCCAATGTTATTTCACTCACCTGTAGCTTCCTAGCCAGGGGCTCGCTTGAGCCCGGCTCATCATTACCTTGAGGGAAATGAAAGGAAGGGTGGATGCTTGTCTCACTCCAGTGCAATGTTGGAGTAAATCCTATGAAGCCACTGATCACCCCAGACCAAATTGCCATCCTAGAGAGGGAAAGTGTGTCCACGAGCTACAGCTGAAAAGCTGGACACTGCCACCAGCATGGATTCTGAGTGACTAGCAGAGGCTCCTGGAGGATGCTGTGGGGAAGGTGATGGCCACAGAAGCAGGTGGGCTCTGGCAAGAATGTGGCAGTGACAACTGCTCTATAGAGACATCTGCTCAGGCTGGGACATGGCACCCATCAAACAGAATCGTGAGCCACTTGCTTTTAACCTGGTCACCTTGCTGAAGGTTTTAGAGGCTTAATTCTCTGCTGGTGCTGGTGAGGACAGAGCTGCTGGAGTGAGTGGAATCCCTGTGCCTTGGCACAAGCACAACGCAGAGTAGAGGCTGGCTCTCCACCTACCGCACAGCTGCAGAAAAGAGCCAGCTCCAAGGGGGTGCAGCATCTCTGAGCTTTTGTCCTTGAAGTGTTAAAAAATGAACCCCGCCCTAGTGTAAATATTTCATTGTATAAAGCACTTTACTACATGCCACTTCACGGTGTGGGAAGTGTAACTGTGTTGAGGAAAGAAGAGGTGGAGGGTGGCACATGAATAAAAACCCCTGAAACAGAAGCACTCCTGAAGACCCCTCCAGTTGCACGGCGTTAACGATATAAAGGGAACGGCCAGCCTGGCACTGGCCACTCAGAGTATCTGAGGATGCAATCTGAAAGATAAAGTATTTGCACTGAAGTCCCAGCTGCAGACCAGCACTTGGACCCTGTGGGCAGGACTCCAGCAAGACTTCACAAACAGGGTGAGAAGAAGAGACTGAGATACGAAATGCAGTTGCCAGAGAAGAAGAGCTGCCTGCAGGAAAAGGGGTGGACGCAGAGAACAGAAAGGACTCGCATTCGCGTATCACAACCCAGCGATTCATGGTGGGCATGGAGTTTATTTTATTTTTGTGGTGGTATTTAAAACCAAACATTCTATTTGTTCTCTTCTGTGTTTTTTTTTTTTTTTTTTTCCAATATATACAGCCATTATACTTCCTCATTAACACCAGTATGGAATATAGCACAGTTTACTGCAGTTTTCAGCACTAAAATATATCTTTTCTGTAAAGCATCTTTAAATCACATAAAGTGTATTTTGTTCGTGGGTGTGAGGGGAAAGAGAAGGAGGACATACAACACCAGAAAAGTCAGGAGTCTACCAATCTGCTTTACGTATGTATTTTTCTTTCAAGGTCCTGTGGACTCACAAAAAAATGATGCTATTTTGGTAATTCATTTTTGTATCTCATGTATGTAATAAATATAATATGATATGATTTCAACGTCTTTATCTCCTGTTACTGCATATGCCACTGGCAATGCAGTTTTCTTGCCTGCATTAAACCACTCACTGGGTGAGGAGAAGCTGATATGGGGGATATTTTCCTGTCGGGGCAGGGGGTGTAGGTAAAATTAACCATGTGGTAAAGAGCCAAGTAGCAAGGATGGCTTGCAGAAATCCCATTTCATCTCTATTTTGGGAAGCTTGTAAGGTCTTCTCGTAAGAAGGGGAAGTACACCTCAATATTTTCAAAGCTGGCCAGATCCTTGCATCCACACAGGCCTGATGGTCGAGCTGCACAGCACTTACCTATAAAAAGCAAGCCAAGGATGATGGAAATCAGTCTCACTCCCTATGTTTAAAAGATCTGAAAGTGTAAAGGGGAAAAAAAGCTGTGGGAAATGAGTGCTGGGGCAAAAGGTCTATAAAACACCCTCAAAGTGAAGTCAAGCATCAAAAATGAGTGACCAGGGAGTGGAGGCGTAACCCACAGCATGGGCAGCAGCTCCCTGCGTAGGTGGTTAATCAGTGACTGCCAGGGCACCACGCTGCAGCAGCACCCGTTTCCCCAGTGGAGGAGGGGGCAGGTAAAGACTCTTCCTATGGAGACACATGGAGATTAAGACCCTCCAGTATGTATGTTTTGGTTTAAAACATCATGGCTTTATCTGCTTGACGTATTTTTAGCTTAATTTTATTTTAATGCCATTAAAAGTACATTTGCAATGGCTAGTTAATTAATGTGGCATCGTGAGAGCTGGCAAGAGGAAAGCAGAGGTGGATGCCAGGGTTTCATGGACCAAAGTGGTGGCAGTGGCACCAGGAGCTGCAGCAGCACTCCCCAGAACATCCCCATACTGTCCGCATGCCTCACCTACACCTGAAGAGCAAGTACCTCCCTGCTGCTGAAAGAGGCACAATGGAGTCTTCAACCATTCCTGTTTTCAATGAAATAGGTTATATGTAAGCAGTGGCTCGGAGTCAGTGACAGGAGCTAGGATGGCTGCCAGAGACTCCATGTTCCTGATTGCTCATCAGCATTGCAGGAGTGACTCTCAGTTGGTGACATGCACTTGGATTGAAGGAGGTAAAGTGGGTGTGTTGGAGTCCACTGCCACCACAAGACAGACACGAAGTATACACTGTAATACAGCCCCTCCAGTGTCATCCAAACCTGTGTTCCCCCAAGACACTCACAGGAGACCTTTCACTATTTCTGGTTGGTTCACACATGAGCTTTCAGCAGATTCTTCGACACAGAGAACACCCAGCCCCAACAACAAGTTTTCAGTCCCTCCTTGCATGGTTTGAGCCCAAATCCTGTTCCATGGGGGTTGTCAGGACCAGGCAGTAAGCCAAATGCACACTCTGTTGTGCGACAGAGGCTTTCTGTACTGCCCTCTGCCACCACTGCTACTTGTGGAGGAAAGCAGAGTGAGCCACCTATGCTAACCTGAAGCCATGTGCTTGGAGGAGGCTGTACTCGGAGATGTTCCACATCCCCCCTCAGAGAGATAACCTTGCACACCCAACTGCTCACTGGTAAACACCTGCAAACGGGGTGAGCACTCCCCAGGTCTCCAGGGCCTGCAGGATGGGTACCTCTGTCCAGCCTGTTCATCTGGCAGCAGGAGGTGGCCAGGCAGGTGTTTAGGTGGAACCTGCTTTTATTCTGTTAAAGAGCATTTTTCTCCTCGGCCCCCCTCAACAGACACCAACGATACCTACAGGCTGTCAGCGCAAG